ATAAGATAAGTATAAGTCTTTTTATTGTTTGTGTGCACAAATTTGTCAAGTAATGAAATTTCATTATTTTTTCCATACAAAAATTGTGAACAAGTACCAGGGTAAGAAATGTATATTCATAGGGTAATTATTAAAAAAGATCCCCAAAATATTTTCACAAGATTTTGTACTTTATACAAACTATACAGATCAACACTTAACCTTAATATATATGCCAAGTTGCAACTTTCTAAACCAGTGAAACCAAATTGTTGCAGTGTTTGCATTTAATAGAGCATAAGAATGCATCCTATGAACATCTAAACCTTTGAACATATTATTATCTTTAGGTGCATGAATATCATGACAATGATGGAAGAATTACATTTTCTTATTGCATACACATTTTATATGAATTGCCAGACATATATCCAGGGCTGACAAACATGAATTTCTACTGTATACAAGTGCAAATGACATCCATTTACCTACTCTAGTTTATAAAAACTAATCCAAATCCCAGTGACTGATCACACTACATCAAATATAAAGTAATTACATATAAGATTTTAAATGTTAAATAGACCTGAAAAAATATTATAAATACATAACTGACTTTAAAAAAAACGCACTACACACATGTACGTCATTTTCCCATCGAAATTTAGACTATTTACTGGCATTCTTTGCAAATGCTTCTCTCAGTAGTTGCTTTTCATTTTCCCTTCTACTGTATACTGATAGAGCAGTAGAACCAACTGCCTTTTCATACTTTGAAACTCCACCCTTAAGTTTTAATTCTGTTAAGGTAGTTTTCTTCATAGGTTTGGATTGCTTAATTCTCTTGACTGCCACTGGCTTACTGAGTTGTGGGGAATTTCCTAATTTCTTTAGATTATCAATTTTCTGTTTTTTAGCTGGTTGCTCTTTCACACTGTTGCCTTGGGTCTCTGCTTCTTCTGTCATCTTTCTCTTCCTTGGATTCTGTTTCTTCTTCCTACAAGAATGTGTATCTGTGAGAGTTTTTTCCTCTGCATGATTTTCTCTAGCCAGGGGATGCTTTTTCCCTTTTTTGTGTCCATCTTCAGTTGTGGGATTTACTGTCTGTTTTGTTTTCGTGGGTTTCTGGTGCTGTTCTAACTTTGAAGGGCTAGGGTTTTGTTTTGATTGGTTTGACTTCAAGTTGGCTTTCTTCTTGTTTGCTTTCACGGCATTACTTTCCTGGTGTGTTCCTGGCTGTTTTCTTTTCGCATTATCCTTAGACTTCTGGGACTGCTCATTCTTTTTCGACTGACGTGTTTGTGCTATATCTCTAGACTCTTGCTTTTTCTTCCCTCTAGCCATGGCCTTGGTTTCGGTTGTGCAAGTCTTACTTCCATTTTTATATTTCTTTCCTTTCCTCCTTTTCCTTGTCTCTTCGATCTTCTTCCGTCTCCATTCTTCTCTTCTTAAAATATCCTTTTGTTTAGCCGTCAGTCCGACCATTTTCTTTTGCTTTTCTGTCAGTTCTTTCTCCTTTTCTACATTCTTCTTTTTAGATTTTTTACCTTCAAATACCTGTAAAACAAGCAGAAATTTACAAAATTAAAATGTTTGAATTACAAGTTATATAGGTAATGAGGTCAACACCTTGGCTGCCTCTCACATTACCTAAAGCCTAACCTTTATGCCTTCATTTTGTGGTTATTCTTCTTAACACATATGTATGTATATTTCCTGTTGAATGACTAGAGATAAGAATAAAAAAACAAAAAACATGTGTGTGTGTGTGTGTGTGTGTGTGTGTGTGTGTGTGTGTGTGTGTGTGTGTGTGTGTGTGTGTGTGTGTGTGTGAGTGAGTGAGAGTGAGTGAGTGAGTGAGTGAGTGAGTGAGTGAGTGAGTGAGTGAGTGAGAGAGTGAGTGAGTGAGTGAGTGAGTGAGTGAGTGAGTGAGTGAGTGAGTGAGTGAGTGAGAGAGTGAGTGAGTGAGTGAGTGAGTGTGTGCGTGTGTGTTTTGTGTGGGCTTGGATATATGTCAGTGGGTATACGTGTATGAAGGGTTATGTGTGAAATTGTGTAGGTACAGTACATATATGAGTGTGGATGTGGGAAGGTGGGGGGGGGGGGTAAAATGGGTAATTTAGTGTATGCATGGGAGCATCTGTGTATTCAAACAACTATCCTTTAACAGAGGAGCTTGAAAACTAGATGGGTCACATACTACAAAGTTGAAAAGTAAGACAAAATAATAGATTATGTACTCAGCTAGAGATCTTGCAATGTATATCATATGTCTAGTGAGATATTAATCATATATTTCAACTTATTCTAGCCTATCTCTAATTAATACGACTTACTCATAAATTTAAACAAGTAGAAAAATCAATCTACAAGTACATTTCCAAAAGGTTCCTAGTTAACCATACAAGGAGCTATAAATAAAATAGTTTTCTATCCTTTCTGTTTAATCTACTGCAATGCAAAATTACAATACTGAATACGTACATGTGTAGGGAGACCTTTGCCAGTGTGCTCCATAGCAAGTTTCCATCTTGAGGCTTTTACTTTGCTCTCATTTATTTTTAAGTCTAATGAGACCATCTTCTTCGTGCTTGATCTAACACTGAAAAATAAATATGATTATCAGTGATTGTCAAACAATGAAGGGCATTAACAACTTTAAGTACTTTAAACATATCAGTTAGGAATATGCAAAAGATAGTCTACATAAAGAAACAACATAGACTTTTTTTTAAATGAGGCTCTAGGACTTTTAAAATATACATAGAATAACACTAATAACAGCTTAATAATAGCTACTAAGATTTTATATAAACATTTTTACATTATTGAATTATTGGTGGGGTTTTATTTGCAATGTTTCTACTTATTTTTCATATTTATTTTTTACTTTGTTTGAATTTGGATTCACAGTATTCAGACTTGAAAAAATCAAGACATAAAATACTATATATGAGAGAATAAAAGTAATAAGAGTAAAATTTATAGAGTTTAGCTTAAAAATAACACTACGGAAACTTAAAACAATGCCAACAGGAGCTTCATGTATCACACTAGTCCATGAACCAAGTACCTAGCACAATCAGCAGGGAAAACTAAGAAGCTCTTCCCATCCTCTTTGATTTGGCTGCAGAATATAAGACTATCAGTGAACAAAGCTAAAAAGGCAGGCTACTTTTGATGGGCATAAGTCCTTAAATCATAGCTGTTGGCCAAACAAGCAAACAACTATTAAATGCACATAACTGAGAGCAGGCTCAATACATGGATATGTGAAGTTGCAAAATTTTAATATCCGAATTAGTTTCAAACAGGATTATTTTGAACACAGTATATCCATTGATGATACACTGAGAGATGTTTGTGCTCACCAGAATATAAATGGCTATTTTCTTAATTTATAATGTTATTTGTTGCTTGCACAGATTATGGTTAAAGTATGGGAGATCAATGCATACTGCATATTAACAAAAATTATATATTCATATTCTATATGGTGTAATTAACTGTTTGAAAGTTAAAGAGCTGAATGCACTGGCACAGGACACCTATAATAAGTCTCTCATATTGTTTACAGGATTAACCTAACGTCAGTGGGTTTATGTCCTGTCCTCTTTAGATTTTTGTGAGCTTTGTTATATACAGATGGCTCCACATGTTCTCAGCCACCAAGGAGTTGGCCCTAGTGATCGATCCTGATTTCCCCATTCCTTGACTTGGCAGGAAATTGTGTTTTTCTTTCTAATACTATTAATATTGACATTGTTATCATTCTCATTGATCTTATGACTATTCAATTCTTATTAGGATATTAATAACATCAAAGATAATAAGATAATAGAAATGAAGCTTTCAAAAAATCAAGTAAAAGAGTAAACAGGTGAGATAGGTAAGACTAATAGCTGACTCCTCGGTGACTAAGCACTCCTAGGGCCATCTGTGTATAAAGACAATTGATAAAATTTGATTACAGTGGGCATGGCACTGTACTCTTGCCATCCACACTAACTGGGTTAACGTATACCCCAGCTCAGTATAAGGTCTGGAGACAAAGCTCTCAGAATAAGAAGGTATTTGGTTCATACAGCAGTCTTTGTGGGGTTCGTGTTTGAGATGGGATGTGGTCTTATTGTAAACTCTGACCCTGATTATTTCCTGCATCAGTGTGTAGTTTTTCCTCTTTTTTTATGACAGATTTTTCCTTTTTTACTGTATTCATTATGTAAATGTACACCAACATATTATGAATTGCAAAAATTTCTTATCAGCTTGCGTAGGAAGTACCAAACATAAAAGGGCGATTCCCCACAGTATGGATGCACTTGCCAGACTCTAAGTCCCCAACTTCACATCACAAACTTTATTCAACAGAAAATACCATAATTATAGAAACTGTTTAAAATGAAGCTATAGAAAATGCGACACTGAGAACTCTGGCTGTGTGAGAGAGTCGTACGCTTAGTCTCTGAGTGGTGACATGCAGAGGCATCTTTGTACCATATGTGTGTGAAACTGAAATTATACCTATTATTCTGTTGTTCTGTCCATTACATGCAAAGTTTACTTTATACCACATGTCGGTGTGAAACTGAAACTATATTAAAATACCCTCCAGATGTAACGAAATAATTCAGATATTCAGCTTTGATAAGTCATTAGTTGGTTCTTTATGTACACTATTTATTGCTAACAATGCATAACCTTCTTATATTACAGAGATTTAGATTATACCGTAGTCTGTATTCTCTGGTTCCTGTTGTTTTTGCTTCTTCTTTCTTCTTATACCACTTTTACTGGTTTTGTCCTTTGCAAGGAGAGTACCGTGTGCACAACTTTTCGGCGAAACATGCGTGAGAATGTTTACATTTTCACAAAAGGGCATGAAGATAAAGAAAGAGCGTTAGTATAAAGTCTGGAATAAATATATAAATAAATAAATAAATGTATAAATAAATATATATATTACATATATATATATATATATATATATATATATATATATATATATATATGTATATATATATACATTACATTACATTACATTACATATATATATGTCTATGAATATACATATAAATATAAATATATTACATATATATTACACACACACACACACACATATATATATATATATATATATGTATGTGTGTGTGTGTGTGTGTGTGTGTGTGTGTGTGTGTGTGTGTGTGAGAGAGAGAGAGAGAGAGAGAGAGAGAGAGAGAGAGAGAGAGAGAGAGAGAGAGAGAGAGAGAGAGAGAGAGAGAGAGAGAGAGAGAGAGAGAGAGAGAGAGAGAGAGAGAGAGAGAGAGAGAGAGAGAGAGATACAAAGGAACAGGGGAAGGATGTGAAGTATCAGGAAGAACGTCAGGATTGATTGATTATTTAAAATTATCTGACGCGTCAACAGCTAAGGTCATTAGCGACGAATACCTTGTTAGACTGAAATATTAAAATATTTAAAACGTTAAAAATCTGTCAATAAATGTTATAAATAACAATAGATATTATATTTAAAAATCAAAGCATAAACAATATGCTCTAAATGTCTAAAAAACTATTGCATAAACATTATGTATAATTAAATTTTATTGAAAATATTAGTTTCCCTAAGGAAACTAACAAGACCTTCTATGTCACAATCCTCCCCCAATACATTTTTCAGTGTATATGGGGGAAACAAGTACCTTCGTCTTTGGTCTGAGAATGTTGCACATCTTTCTACTATATGTGCGACCGTTAATGGCTCTCGGCATTCATCACAGTGATCGTGCTTCATTTTTAGCCATCATCGGCCCATGAGTCATTCTTGTGCCCAATTCTCATCCTTGTTAATACAACTTCCACTTGTCGGTTGCGATGGCTGCTGGTCTCCCAACTGCCAAGGTCATCTCTAATCTCTCGTAGTTTATTTCTAGAGGTATGCCTCCATTGTTCCCTCCATTTATCACGAAGACAACTTCTAATGCTGGGTTTCAAATCAGTGTATGGGAGAGGAAAACGAGCATCACAAGGCTGAGCGGCCTTCTGATCAGCTCGCTCATTCCCACTGATACCAACATGTGCTGGCACCCAACAGAGAGTTATCTTCTTACGTGCTGACATCAATGCAAGCCATTCTTGGACCTTCCTCACCACTGGATGTGATGAGTTTAAGCTCTTGATTGCTTGCAAGGCACTACGAGAGTCATAATATATTGTAATAGAATTGTTCGTAAGATCTCTAGTCATCCTGAGTGCTGCAAGGATGGCATGTAACTCTGCAGTGAAAATCGAGAACGTCATGAGAGGGAGGATCCAGGGAAGGACATAGCTGTGACCGAAGGGGGTCACGCAAGTATCCAGGTGGGAGCGTTAAAGGATAATGGGGAAAGAATAGGGGATGGTGCATATGGAGAACGGGAGGATAAGTGTGTTGGGAAAGAGTGGGAAAAAGAGAGGAGGGGGAACTTGAGGAGGAGGAGGATGGATATCTTCAATTACTTTGAACGTAGAGGGAATGGGAGCAGAGAGATTGGAGGGTGGATAAGAGAGAGAGGAGCATTCTCTTTGGTCATGTTTAGTAAGTATTGGAAGTTCTCAAGAGTTTATGGAGGGGATTTGGGTGGAGAGGTCTGAGAAACAAAGGTTTTCTCATAAGGAGAACAGGAGTCTGATGTCCAAGAAACATAGGAAATGGTGGAAATAGGATAGGATGCGGTAGGAGAAGATGGGGTGAAGCGTTAGATTGTCTGGTGTGACAGGTAAAGTGAGGAGGGGTAGGCATTGGGGAAGTGGTAGAGATTGGAGTATCTGGACTTAGACTGGAAAAAAAATCAGCTGGGAGAGAGGGAGTAGCAGTAAGATGGTAAGGGGTGAGGGGAATAGATACTGGGGAGATGCCGAGACATCTTGGAAAGAAAGGAGAGGAGTGGAGCGAAACGACAGCATGCTTCCTGTCTAGCATTGCAAGCCTAGTTTGAATCAGAACTGCTACATCAGGCTGAGGTTGCAGGAGTGCAGCTCCTGTAAAATACATTGTGGGAGACACCACAAATGACACACTTGCATGATTGTGCAGATATATTGAACGGTCATGACCAAGGCACTCAGAGGGCAGATGGCTGTGGAGCAACAATGCTTCCAGCAGGGTAGCTAAAATGCCAACATTTCTGATATTGACAGGGAGGGAGGAAACATACAGATAATTTTTACAGTCTGACCAGTTCTTGTCACAGACAGGGTAATTAGTTGGAGAGATGGAAACAGTTCTGGTAACAGCATTATGGGGAGAGTGAGATTGGGCAGGAACAGGTTTGCCAGCAAGGTTAGTCTGGGTAGATAAAGCAGTGAATAGTAGTAATAAGACTCTTGTAATAATAAAAATTACAAGAGGAGTGGAGTGGTAGGTGTTGAGAGAGTGGAAGGGTTTTATTCTGAAGGTCGAGTAATGACCAGAATGGATGATTTAGAATGGATAGAGTTAACAATAAGAATGGAGGAGGGTGCAGTGCTCGGAGCCATGATCAAAGGAGAGGTGAGGTCGGGAAACCAAAGAAGTCAAATTTCTTTGATGAAGGGACAAGCCTTAATACCCTTAATAAGGTTACAAAATCTTCATTATTGGCCCTGGTAAGCCTGATATATGTGGGCAAGAGAATTTATGCATTTCTAAAACATTCAGCAAAACCAAAGTTTACATTAGCTGGGACAAAGGTGAAAAAGGTTTATGGAATGATAATCAGCACATAACATACATCTTTATTTATATGCAGAAGAGAATTCCTGCATTATCATACAGTATATTACATCCTTTGGACTTTCATTAAGTGGCAGAGACTTTAAATTAACCACTATAGTCTCAGTAATACGTAAGATATGGTTCATTAAATATGTTGGTACAATAAAACAAAGATTATTTCCTTAATAACAAGGAAAAATTAACTTGCTTCACATACAGCACAATGATAATTTTTTTCTTGTTGTTGAGACCATTTTTTCACTGGAGTTATGGATGAGATTCTCACAACCCATAAACAAAAGCTTGTAAATGTCACTTAACTTGAGCCTTTCCCTTTACACAAAACCTTCGTTGACAAATAGATTCCCCTACATTTTCTTAGCTCAAATTAACTGTCAAGTGATGATGATTGATGACCATAATGAAATGATGAGTGTGAAGTATACAACAACAGTAACGTATATGGTATATCTACATGTGGCAAATGAATGCAGACAGCACACAGTAATCTACTTGATTGCTTCTTCAGTATACAGATGTTATTACATTATTACTGTGCACTAACATTCATAACCACCACTATTTACATTTTCTGAGGCCACATTCACTTCCACATGTAGTTTAATCCACATATCCATCAAAATGCAAGTCTACAGTGAAACTACGCTCCCGCTTTCATAACGCACTTACAGTTTTTTTTTTCTAAGATAGCTTGTTTGATGTTCCCTTAAAATATGGACAAATACTGTAAAGTATAAACAAAATTCTGGATAATAATAAACAAAATTCCATATATCTATTTATACAAGCGTTACATTTTGTACATAACAATTGTTGCATTATCATTAAAACTTTTTTTTTTTATCAAACTCTGTATAACTTCTTTAAAATCAGAGAAAAATAAATAATCTATTTACAACTTTTCAAAAAAATAAAGACAAAAAACAATATAAAGTGTCACTGACACAGGATATTCAACCAAAGCCATGGAATAAATTGAAAATTGAGTATATTATTTTATCCCAACACTGCAACAGTATAGAGAAAATATTAGTGAAGCTTATGTACAGCCCTGGTTGTCATCTGGCCTTGTACCAATCTCTTCTTTCTTAATTTCCTTCCATATTAAATACTGATCTATACAAATTTCCCCTTGAAGATAAAAGAAAAAAAAAAAAATTACAGTAACATTGTTGTTGGTTTCTCTAAGTACTTCTTGAAGGCGGCAAGCCACTGTGCTCCTACAGCTCCATCCACTGTTCGGTGGTCGCAGCTTAGGGTAACTGACATTATTTGTGCAGCTCGGAAACTGTAAAAGAGAGAGAAAAAGATAACACACTAAAACCACTAACATAAACACACACACACTAAAACACAAAAGAAAAAAAGAAAAAGAGAGAGAGAGAGATGAGAGCTAACTAGCTAGGCTGTTTTACTTATCTTTTCAAATTTTAATTCTACATCATTACTTATTCATCTTAAGCTATCTACATCACTACCTTAACCTGAAATTTTACTTCTACTAGACTTTATCACCCTTTATCTTGAAACACAGACAACCACCACAATGCAATCACATATACACACCCAATTTTAAAGTCTTACCCTTGTTCGCTGTCTTCATCAACGATGAGTCTCTTTTCTGTGCCTCCAACAGCAAGGATACAGGACTGAGGTGGGTTGATGATGGCACTGAAGTTCTTCACACCAAACATCCCCAAGTTTGAGACGGAGAAAGTGCCACCCTGCAGAGAAACCATGACTAAGGATTACACATTCAAAAACCCCTATTCCTCCATGTGTGTTTTGCAGCAGCATATATAATTTTCCAATATCTGAGTAAACAAGCATAAAACTTGGAGCTCGCTGACTGTGCTTGGCTGGTTATAGCAAAAACAGATGCGCACTGCTAATATTGAATTAAAACAAAATTGCTTTTGACCTACCTGGAATTCATGTGGCTGAAGTTTCCCTTCTCTAGCTCTTGTTGCTAAGGCCTTGACATCGATAGCAATGGCTGCAAGACCCTTCTGTTCAGCCTTGAAGACTATGGGTGTGATAAGTCCACGATCTGTGCTTACAGCAACACTCACATCTACATTGTTGTACCTTAGAATATATACAGAGAGAATTTTTAAGGGC